ATGAGAATTTCTGACTCGAAATTTTATTGTGATCAGTAATTGGGATTTAATAGGTAAAAAGGGTCTTGTGTAGTATCCCTTAGGTTGTTTCGTAGATGGAAATTTCAGAATTTTAGTGTCTGAAAGAGAAACGTTTTGAGGGTTTTCACCATGGTGATACCTATAGATAATGTGCGAAGTCGCTCGGTTAGATGGCCCTAACTTAGTTGACACCTTGGACGGACGGCAAACGACCTTTTCCTCTCTGTCTCCCATTGCTGCACCTTGACTCTTGCTCGACCACAGTTTCGCATTAAGTATTCACGTTAAACCCAATTTGCGTGCAAGGAGCATTCTAGGAAAGTGAATTGGCTCTCCCGCCACAATTTTGAAATGGTGAATTTTCCAAAAAATTCTACATTCTTTTTTCATTGGTAATAATCGAAGAACTTTTTATTTTTAGATACGCGTAATTTTTGCATTTTAATCAAGTGAACTAATTAGATCAATATAATTCAGATCGAAGTATTTGACAATTACATTAAAGATTATCATCGATGAAATTTCAATCGAAAAAAATGAGAAACGTAGAGCGATGTATAAGTATAATAAATTTATTATCCTATTCATCGCGATACTTCACTTGTTGTTTGCAATTATTGTAAAATAATTAATTTCTAGGTATAGTTTTTATCTGATATAAGATAATAATACAAACGTTTATGTAATTGTATTTCTTTTTCTTATTGATTTCAAAAATAAAAGATAATATCTATATTGCAAATAAAAATTTATTCATAATAGTGTTAACATGACCTTTTCTTTTTAATGGTAATTTTTAAGTATTAAAAAAGACTTAGTCAATGAATATTTTTTTATCATTGATGCAATTTTTTATTTTTTAATCATTTAATCTTATACTTTCACGATGTCTGCGATCGAATAAATTAACACATTGTGGACGGATCATGAGAATTTTTGTGTTTTCTTTTCTAGAGCTTATGGCCGATCACGAGAATTCTCGTATTTGCTTTATTCACCAAAACCATAGCTGGACACTGGATAAAGCTAGCAATAGAACTACCGGTACATAATGTGTTAATGTTGATAATAATTTGAAAATATTTTTAATTGAATTGAATTTTCGTTGAAAAAAAATATCGCATAGGATAAAATCGATTTCTGATGGGAGAGGGATCCACAGGCAGATTTCTTCGATTTCATCCCACTCGAGCCGCCACTCGAAGGACATCTCTAATGGGAACAAGCACTGGCTCGGGATGGGTTGACAATCCTCTAATTACTTTAAAGTAGTTTTCGTTTCCCCGAGAAGAGCGTCAGGCTTATCGAAGGGGAATCCAATGCGACATTTGAAAAATCTTTTAAATCGAATACTTGAATTCAATTCGAGCAATGTACATTTCGACGATTCTCAAATATATATAAATCTTTAAATTGTAAACAAAAGACAAAAACATTCATAAATAAGTATAAAAAGTATTTAATTGAATGTTCCGACAACGTTGATTCTTTTTCCAGAATAACTTTTCTCACGTAAAGAAAAAGAGAGAATGTGTATGTATGTGTATGAGAGAGAGAGAGAGAGAGAGAGAGAGAGAGAGAGAGAGAGAGAGAGAGAGAAGAGAGAGAAAGAGAGAGAGAGAGAGAGAGAGAGAGAGAGAGAAAGAGAGAGAGAGAGAGAGAGAGAGAGAAAGAGAGAGAGAGAGAGAGAGAGAGAGAAAGAGAGAGAGAGAGGTAGAGGTAGAGAAAGAGCATCGTATAAATTCATGTTTAACGGGGGCATAAAGGTGTGACAAGAAATGAGTAGCGAGACCTTGACTTAAATGGAGGCGAGCGTACGGGTAGTTGCCGGTGCTCGTTGATTATTTATTCAAAGGGTATTACGGGTTCCACTAATTATAATTTATATCATGGCAGTAACAACATCACATCGACCGTACCAGAACATCATAGAAGATGGCAAGTGGTATTCCAACGTTAAGTAAACTTTGAAAACAATACTAAATGAATCGAAAGAAATGAAAGAAAAAAAAAATGGAATATAATAAAATTAACGATGATCTAAGATTAATCGAGATAAATATTAAAGGTATAAGAATAATATCTTTAACGTTCGAATATTCGGCATAGTTTTGAACGATTTTAAAATTGGTTCCGGTCATATAGAAAGGTGATTTCGATCGTGGCACACGAAAGTAGACACGGAGGATGTGACAGGCACGAGAGCCAGAAGCATGTACGGCCAATCAGCGGTTTTTCCTAGACTGCCTGTCATTCAGTCAGCCAAGTGGAAGGACAGGAACGGCTTGTGGTTCGGCTTCGGCATTATTCATTATGCAGCTCACAACACGCCGTCACCTGCCACCGCAGTCCTGCATAGACACAGCCGCTGTGCTAGCATTGACCGCATACGTGTACTGTACGTGTGGTCTGTCTCCATTTTCTGTGTGTCTCTGTGACACCAGGAAGATAATGGAACGTGTCTTTTTAAGCCTATGTTAAAGAGAATCACGACCGAGAAAGAGAAATAAAGAGATAATAGAATCCATTTCAATGTTTTCCAATCGCTTTCTATTCATGGCACAACGATGAAACATTTCTTAAGCCAATACCTGAAGCGAGTCATTCATTATCGATAATCATCGAGAGCAACGATATCGCCTTACTCACAACGCACTCCTATGAGAGAAGCGTGTAAAATTCTTTCAATGTAAGACGTAAATAAGAATTATAATAAAGTATATTATAAAGATAATAGTGTTTCTTTTATAATTAAAAAACGATTATTTTTTTTTTTTTTATATGAACGATATTATGTACGTTATGATGTATGTTATGTACTGTGTTATGTTATGTTTTCAATTTATTTTTATCGACGATCGATTTTATCGAAAAATATCTTGATTCGGTCCAATACCGTCACAAGGATACAGATAGGATTCTGATTGGTGAATGGGACGGTGATAATAGGGACGAACATGACTCGTATCCAAAAAGCATCTTCTTCATTGACTAACAGGCTAGTAGCAATATGTTTATACTAGATTGATAATGAATTCATGGTGCTCGCTATACCACTGGGTGAGCTATTTGTGAACAGGTTGCAGCGAGCATTACGGATCGGATCGCACAGATGCTCTTTTGTCGGCAGATGAGTGAGAGCCCTTGGGATAACGCCGGATGATATCGGATCTGTCGGGGTCGAAGTAAGAATCGGAGGGAGGAAAATCGGCTGAACCCGAGATCATATACATACGTACGTATAAACTCTGTTTATGTGAATGTATATATACACGTATATGTGAGAGCACGTTACGCAGCCGGGTGATCCCACGGGTCCCAACGGAGTACCATCCGTGGGGCTTAATGACAATTCTGACTATTCTATACCGCTCAAACGCTCGTTTGAGCTTGTTTCTATATATTATTATGATGGTTTATGTTTAAGCGGCCCTATCATACTAATTCGTACGTTTTCCGAAGAAACATAATCTCTTTCTCTTTTTTTCAGTCTTCGAATCTTCAACTCCTATATTTTTCTTACAATTTTTAAAAAAATTTTATTGTTTTGTAGAAATATGGAAAGCTTATTTTTACTTCATCCTGTATAATGTATGTCAAACATTTTACAAACACTCTCAGAAATTATTATCGGTTTTTAAAGGTAGTTTCGTAAGATCGAAATATTTTAAGGTAAATTAAACGTTTCACTAAAATCTACAATATTTATCCGTTATGTGGAGCCACTGCACGATCTCATGCGATTGATTAAAAAATAATGAAAATATTTTGGAACATTGTTTTAGAAAAAATCTTAAATATCAAAGACCTCTTAACAAAGAAATGAAATTTTATAATTTATATTAAAAAATAAATATGATGTATGCGTATCGATTAATTTGGACATTTAATATATCATAAAACATTATTATATGCGTATTTGTTAATATATATTAGCAAGCTAAGGTAATTCAGTTTTATTTAAAGACAGAAAGATTGATATATTTTGTTACCTTAAAATAACATTTTTTATCGATGAATGTTAAATTCTATATTTTCTAAATGTACTGTCGGTATAAGTCATACTTATGATAAAGAAGTTTGCGATATCGAGAAAAACGAGTTTTGAAAAACGTTTATCGTAGACAACCCATTATGTAGAAAGAAACTTGAAACATCAAGTAACAAATGTGATATGTTTATTTAACTATTTTCGGTATACAGTAGATACAATCAGACTATGCTTCCAGCAGGTATGACTGTCGTCTCTAGAACGTCTCTAGAAGTCGAAGAAAGAATGAATGACTTCTCTTGTGTTCCCGAGGTCTTTGTTGTTTCCTTAGTTTTTGGGGTCTTTGTTGTTTTTTTACTTTGTTTGGTTGGTTTCCTGCATGTGTATTCGGTGGCGCCGAGGCGTGTTAGTTATGTGTCTTGCCGGAGGAGACGTAACAGTCGCGATGAGGTCATCACAAAAAGAAGATTAGTGAGACATCTAGCAACATAATACTAAAGCAATATCGAAGAAATGTAATTTCTATTATTCTTACATTTATTAATTATGAAAGAATTAAAAATGCTTTTTTTTTTGATTCACATTCTTGATAAAACTTGACCAATTATAAAAAGGATATAAAAGATTTTTATGTACAAATTCAATTGATATACCTATTTCGAGGATTAATTTTTAAAAGAATAATTGTTGAGAACTCTAGAGATATATATAATACTAAAGCAGTACTGAAGAAATGTAGTTTCAATTGTTCTTTCGTTTAATTATAATAGAAATAAAACTTAGTTCTTGCGATTAATTTTTGATAAAGCTTGAGTAAATGCTACGTCATATCAGCTTACTTGTATCAATCTAATCTTTATTATCATATTTCTTATGTTCTAAATAGTTGAACAATTTTAAAGAACTTAAATGTTTTTTTATTAGTTATGCTCTAAAGTAAACCAATATAATGTATGTATACACAATTTAAAATTAAGATAGTCAAATCTTTCAATTATAATATTTATTTAATTATAAAGAATTATTTTTAATACAAATGTTGGAATAAATATGATAAATAGTAATTATTTTGTATTACGAGAATACACAATAGTAGCTACTTTCTGTTCTATTCTTTTACAACCAGATTTCGAATATAAATTATGAGGTGGTGGATCAAAAGTCATATGCGATAAAGCTTCCTCTATTAATTCTGAAGTTGGGTTGATTTTTCTTTTTAAGAATGCTTGTTTTGCACAATTTTTAACATGTTCTTCTTCTAGTGGAAGAAAAGGTATATAATGATCAATAACGCTAGTTTCTATAGTATCACTAAGATGAAATCCTCCTTTTTCATTGAATGCTCCGATAGATATTAAGTTTTCAAAATCTTGAAGCTTAGTATCGTCTCTGCTTACACCATTTTCCCAAAGAGTTAATAACCTTTGTACAATTTGTCTACTACCGGTATTAGATAAAAATATAAAAATTGCCTTATTTGTTCTTCCTTTCGTTGACCATGTATTATAATCCAAAAAAGGTACAAGAGCATTTAATATTCCTTCAGGCATTTTATCTATTTCGTCAAAGACAAATAATGATTGTGGACAATCTTGTAATGCACTTTTGATCGCTATCTGCAGTTGCAACTATATTTTACAAATTAGTATTATAATTTAATATCTTTTATTTCTTTAATAACTAATCACACAAGAATATCAATATTAATTTTATTTACCTCATATTTTTCAACTTCATGTTTTAATGGAAAATCAGTTCTACCATTAAAAAAATGAAAGTATTTACTTTCTAAACCTTTTTTGTACAAGGCTTCTGCAATGAACTTTGCTACATAATTTTTGCCAGTTCCTGGTGGGCCATGAAAACTGAACGTTAACGCTTTTCCTTGATCTTGTTGATTGAAGTAACCATTTAATGCGTTTATTATTGTTTTATAAGCAATATGCTGCCCATACAATTTGTTTTGCATAAGCTTTTGAAGTTCTAAGAAAAAATATAAGTACAGAAAGGTTTAAATAAAAAACTTTTCTTAATGTTTCCTTTATAACTTGTAAAAATAAATAATATGCAGACTATACTTACTTTGAAAATTAAGATGGACATATTCATCATTGCAGCATTCATTATAACGACAATGCATATAATTATAGTAAAAAGCTCCCAAGCCGCTGCTAATACCACTAACAATTGCCACTGTTGATAATAGTTCACATGATGTTAAAGTAAACCAATATGTTAACAGAGTAATATATAGTATTATATTCATATTAAATGAATTAATTTGTACTATAAAATATAATCTGTACTATAAAATTGTTATTTTAACAGTTCTTAAAAATACAATTGTTCGTTTTAAAGATTTACTTATATTTAATGATCAAATATTTACTGTAAAAATTTTGTAACAAACGTTATATAGTAATATTAACAGAAGACAAGACTAATAGATACAAAGAGTGGTTGAAAATTTACAATACTGTAAAAAGAATGTGTTTAGAACGAAACGCTCACATGATGGCGCTAGTAGATCGCACAGTCGGTACATATGTATATACATTTTGTTTTATCGACTATGCTTTATTGAACTTTAATTAATAACACTTCAGTATATTATGAATAATTATAATTAAATTAAATAATTTTAATCAATAAGTAATTATAATGGCAAAAAAGAGTATTATTATATAATATATAGTAAGTATAATAAATAAAAATAGTATTCAATGATAAAAAATCTTAAATTCAGAATTCTCATTTTTTACAATACGATTCTATATTGATTATATTATACAAATATATATGGATACACATGATTATAAATGATTATACAGTATTTTATTCATAATACATTTATTAGATGATATCATGAAACGTCAATATTTATAATCGTACATATTATTCATAAAAATAGATCATTCATGTCATGACACAAAAATGTCATAGATCAGATGAAATATGCAAATGTTTGAATTCACTGAACATTTTCAAAATAATATTTCATTAATGTATGGATGTACATTATTAATAATTATGGAAAGACAATATACAGCCAAAGATAAATTTATTTTTCTTTCATATTAAAGTTTTGTTATTTAAAAACTTATATATAATTAAATATTTTATATATGCAGGATAATAATTGAAATAAATAAAAAATAGAGATTTATGTCAATTTAGATTGCATCATATCAATAAGCTTAACAATGTTTGGCCAATGAATCCAAAGAAGCTACAGTAATGAAATAATTATTTTCTTTCTTACTTAAATCAGAGTGTTCAAATTTGGGTAGATTATTAGAGAGCACGTATAATTTTCTCGAATCATAATCGATGGCTAGGTCATTGGGATAAATCATTGTCTCGTTGTTTTGGTCTACCAGAACTGAAAGGAAAAATAATTATCTATTATTACGTGAGCAGTAATAAATAGCTCTCGTTTAAACGTAGAAACAATATTTTATTATATATCGTTGATATATTCCAAGACTTCTAAGAAAAATCTTACGTAATAAAGAATTAAAATAGTGTATGTAAATCTATATATATATATGGATCTCAGTTTTCTATATTATGAAACATTGTAATTTTCTCCATGTGAACATAGCACTGACGTCTCCAATCAATTTATTCGTACGATTATCATTTATTGATCATTAATTCTATAGTCATTAATTCCATTAGTCATAAATCCTATAATTTATCTATTTTTATATCAGTGATAATAATTATCATTAATAATTATAATTATAATGTAATATTATAATATTTACGATTAGAGTATACTTACGAAACGTTTCCGGAGTCAATTTCACATTGGTGTCCCAACAGCCTATTCCATTCTTTTGTATTTGCGTGAAATAAGCGATTTCAGTTTCCTGATCAATGACCGATGAAGGTCCTTGACTTTTTGGTCCTTTGTCTCCAGCAACGTGGAATGCATGGTAATTATTTGATAAGATTAACATGTCGTCTTGCAAAACCTCAGTAGACACGTAGAATTCTGTTATTCCAGACATAGCGTGAAAGTAAAGAGTCCTGTATCCATCATCTTGATACGGAGTCAAGGCAAGCCCAAAAATACCATCGGTCCATTGAAAATTATAACCGCTAATATTGTAATCACCTGCGAAAAAATATGAAAATAATTCTTATTTCTTCCTTTACGTTTTTTTTTTCTACGATTTTATATTGCATTTGATTTTTTTTAATCTTCTATAATCCAATTTTTGTGATGTTTAAAAAAAAATTGTATAATGTGAAAAATTTATAGTATATTATAATGTGAAAAATGTTATTTGTATAATAAAATAAGACAAAAAATATAGATGTAGGAATGTTGGACTTAAAAATTACATATTATAGAGTGTTAAATAATACGATTCCTCACCTTGTAACGGATCGAAGTAAAAGTAATTGTGTTCGATTCTCCAAGAATTATTCTTGGCCCAGCTGTAAACTATCAAACCATAGGCTGAAAAATCTGAAAGATAAGCGTAAGCATCTTGACAGGCATCAGGTTTTACATCTATGACGAGGTCAGCTATAAAGGAATTGTGTTTTTGATCGGAATCCTTTAAAGTGTATTTCCGGATGATCTATTTTGAAAATAATATTATATAGTAATAATAGACACATTTCTTATAATCTGTATTTCGTTATTATTTACATCAAATCAATACATATGTATAAATTACAAACCTTGTCTGTTTTTAGATCGATCACTATGATTCTAACAGGTTGCAAGATTGTAGTGTTGCCATAAATATCGCTTATTCCTGTATCAACAGCCCAAAGACGATTACATTCATCGACTCTAACACGAAAAATGTTTACTATACTATCTGGTAAATGTATATCGTTCGTTTCAAAATCAGGATACGGATTTAAACTTGGTGATTCTATAAATAATGAATTATTTTTTATATTATTATACAACTTCTTCGTATTTTTTTTCTTTTTTCTTATTATGATTCTATTTATATTGTTTATATTGTTTTATATTATTATTGATTTTTTTCTTATGATGCTATTTATATTGTTTTCTTATTTCACAACTTACCACTAGTGTCGTTCATCCATACGTAATTTAAATTAGCCACCACACCGTTCCTCCACCTAGGAACAGTAATTATCATTCTATCTTGCGAAATTGCCAGACCCAGAGGCAAATTATTTTTTTCTATGTAATTTCCTGATTCGACGTATGTTTTTCGAATGGTTTCATTTGGAAAATTAAAATCCAATTGTTGCCAAGCATAGAGCTTATTAAAGGTTACGCCATTAGCAACTGCTAGTAATGATAACAATAAAATATACATTTTACCTGGAATCAAAAAAAGAACAATAATTAAAAAAAATTAAATTCGTATAATTCATCTTTAAAACATTTTTACTCGATTAATTAACTTTGAATTCGTCGTTAGCGAATAAATTATAATGTATAATTTATAATGAATAAAATAATTTCGTTAAAAACTATGTTAATTTTCTCATAAGGTATGATCTCTTATAAAGTAGGTAACATTAATTTAGTGTACATCAAACCGTTCAGTATACCGAATGTGAAAGTAACTTTCTTATTATACATCTGATTTGAAAGGTATACTACACTTTCTCTCTTTTAAAAATGTTAACAACATTGATTTCTGTGACGTCATGTTTCATTGATTCGTAATATGTGATGTTTAAACATAAAAAAAAACAAAAAATAAAAGTACTTGCGAACAAAATTGTTGTTTACGTTTCCGTAAGAAGTATTTTGTGATATCAAGATTTAAATTCTGATAATTCACGTTGCTTTTACCATCACATGAATAATTAATTATGTAAGTTCGTGGAACGTAATAGAAACTTTAGAATATACTAAAGATTTATTATATAGAAGCTCAACATTGTTGAGAGTTATATAGGAATGGCTACATGTTTAGAAGACTCAAAAATAAAAGAAGGTTATACATGATTTGAAAGAAATTTGAAGTATTATTCTTCCTAATGTTTCTATTAGAAATATTGTACTCCAATTATTAGAATAATTATTACTTTTATAATTTTTAATTTAATAATTATTACTTTTCTAATTTTGAAACAGTTTAAACGGTTCTAATAATTATATTTTCTTTTCGTTCGTTTTTTAAGAAACACGATATATTATAATATTCATTTTAACATTAAGGTATGTAATTCAATGTTCTTTTTCTAATCTTTTATTTTAGTTAGAAAAAAAATTGTGAAAATAAGAAAATTTATAAAAAAAATGTTATATATATTTTAAAGGAAGAAAAAAGATTTATATGACATTTTTGAATAAATTATTTGAAAAATTAATTATTGAACCAAGAGCTGGAAAGAAACTGATAAATCTTATAAAGTCGTAGTTTAGCCATGTGTGTTGTATATATAGATATTTTCATGAACAAATGTCATGAAATATTTCATCTTTTTTATAACTTTTCACAATAGAGAATTTCAAAATAATACAGTTATTTAAAAAATTCAATATCTTTTGGTTTTCATGTGACAATCTGTAAAAATATTAAATAATTAAGAATAAAAATAAATTCTGTGTTACGAAATAAAAGTTCAAAGAAACTTGTGGATACTTCATTAATTTTTTTTATTCTTTTTTCAAATTTTCCAATATTTAATAAAGAATAAATGAATAATTTCGGAATTAACATTTATTAATTACTCTATCTGCTTATTTGAATTATCAAACGAAAATTATTTATGAATTTCGTATATGAAATACTATCTTACGTGAATGATATATAACAGAAATATGAATTAATAAAAAATTTTTCTTAAACGCCGAAATCGGTTTATACATTTTCACGATCCATAAATTATTATAAACCGCTAGACGGGTTATACTCACCGTTTGGCAGCGAAGAACTGGTCTTTCAGAGAATGGTACAAGGTAGAATGGCCGTATAGTACGACGAGTAGTCCTATATAAGCAGGAGACATAGTGTAGTATATGTTGATATATGTGTTTACTACGAAAACGTGTATAAGTTGTGAACGACCCGATCAATGCGTCACTTCGAAAAGCATGTAATTGAGGTAATAATGAATTAAGCAATTAAATTGTTTATACAATTTTCTATACTTATCGGTATATTTGTTAATAATCTAAAAAATATTTTTATCTTTTTCTATGAACAACATAAAGTAGAAAAAAAAAGAAAAGATTAGATTATGAAAATATTATAAGAGCGTGTAAAATTATTCACGATTATTAATTTAAAGCCGGAAGTGTATTTAGTATCGTATTTGATACATTACTTTCATTTCACATTAACATGTTCGATAAATGGGCGCACCTATGTCACGCGAAGAGTGCTGACGTCGCATGCGTATGTAGTGTAGATACCGTGCTATTATTTCGTTTAAATATGTTATTAAAAATTATAAAAAAATTTCATAATTAAAATATTACATAGTAGAGTATGTTCGTTTTAAAAATATCAATAGTTGAATTGAATTATTTCGAGGAATTAAGGAAATAAGGAAAGAAAAAAGAATGGAAATAAAGACAAAATACAAACGAAAATTATTATATAAAAAAAGAATTTCTATTTACATGTTCTCGTACAAATAGTACAAAACATTGTCCTTTCAAATTGTTACTTGGCAGTAATATTTTATACGAATTATAAATTATCACGCGCGTAATAGTATCGCGATGTTTAAGTCGAGTGTATTTAGATTTTAAACAATTCTTTTTTCGAAGATTAAACAAGGCGAAATGAAGAGTGCTTTCGTTAACGACCTTAAATTCGTACATATACGTAACGTAATAAATAAGGACATGGAATGACCATAGTATTCATAATATCTATATATTTATTTGTACGATAATGAATTTGTCAATTAAAATTTCTCGAATGTTCTTATACGATAGATTTCTCCTCTTCACGATGTTCAATTTCTACGTCCTTCAGATTCTTTTTCTTCTTCGATATTTTAGGCTTTCTGTAAATAAAATGACATTTATTTAAGTTAATTATTTTTTATTTATAATAAAAAATATTCACTGCCTGAGCCTATTTTGCTTACTTGCCAAAATCTTCTCCATCTTGAAGCGTTTCCGGAAGTGTACATCCTGCTGTTTCTGGTAACAATAGGCAAAGCATAGCTCCCATGATCGGTAAACTTCCAAAAATAATTGGTGGGAACCATTCTGCCATGTGATTCTTAAAAACGTGAATAATATTGTTATTTATTATTCATATAAATTATATACATCCATAGACATACAATCAAATGAATTTATTTTGTTTCGATATACCAAAGATACTACAAAAGGTGCCACAATAGAACCTATCCTTGCACACATACTGCTAGTGCCTACGCCCATGTTCCTAACGACCGTAGGGAATAATTCGCCGGAGAAAAGATAAACCGAGGTAAAAGCTACCGACATGCCGACAATGCCAAAACAAACGAGGATTAGCCTCAGCCATGCGAGATCTACAAAAATGATGATAATTAATTAGGTAAATTAATTTTTGTCGAAAGATAAGATATTCTATCTTAATTGATGTATTTAAATGTCAAGTTTTGCAAGAAATAATCAATTTATATCGTAAATATAAGATTATTATTTAAAATCACAAATTTTAAATTTTTAAAAAGATAATAAAAAATTAAAATGGAACATCCTGTATATTTTATGAATTTTTACCGTGCGGTACAATAATGAGAGCGAGAGATGAAAAACCAGCGATCACATTGCTACTGATCAAAGTGACTTTTCTCCCTAGCTTGTTCATCGCCCACCAAGCTACAAAATTTCCCGGAACCTGTATTGCTCCAGAGATCGCAAAATTGATGAAAATATCACCGCCTACTTGACCGATGTACTGTGACATTCCAAAGAGACCCATTCCACAGACGATCCAGTTAAAGAAGATCGACAAAGATTTCACTCTCATGTTTGGTGTGCGGAATAAGTCTAAGAAAGATGCATTGTGATCCTGGGCCGTCCGTTTGGAATTCTAACAGAATAAGTAAATTAATTGATTGTTCGAGATCATTCAAGAAAATATCACTAAATAGTATAGTGATTTAAAATTTGGTTGGATTAATTAAACTTACCTGATGAAGACAATGTCTTCTAACTGTATCTGGAATATCTTTATTTCCCGTCTTATTGATAATAGCTACTTTCTCTAAAATTTCACAAGCAGCCTTTTGTCTACCAACGGCAAGTAACCATCTTGGCGATTCAGGTACGATCCACCAATAACTTAAAAGAATAATAGAAGGTATAGTAATGGCTATTTGAAGGTGCTGCCAATGGCGAAACAGATAGGCGATTCCAGCCAAAGACATTTGTCCTAAACTGAAAGGAATTTGATAAAGCACAGTGATAGCTGCTCGCCATTGTGTACCGACTATCTCCATACCTAGAAAAATGATAAAATTTTCAATATCGTTTAATAAAAATCAAGATAAGAAAAAGATAGTAAAAAGGAAAAAAATTTTAAGATAACTTACAAATAACGTAACTAGTGACCATGGTTCCACCTGTAGCCATAGCACTGAGTAATTTCAGTATTAACAATGCTGGAAACCATGGAACTATGGCACAACCGATACCTGAAGCTAGTTGTAAAAGGACAGAGCCCATCAAAGGCAATTTTCTGCCATATCTGCGAAAAAGGATAGTAATCATGGTGTAATCATCAATTTGATTATCTGAATCACAAATTTCAATTTTATAAATCTTTTTGTATACCTATCAGCTAAACTTCCAAAAATGACGTTCCCGAGTAATACACCGAACATCAAGATCGATTGTTGAATATTAGCATAATGGGATCTACTGCATACTAAATTCCACTGAAACGATAGTAAATGATACAAAATGTTCAAGAAAGACAATGTAAGACAATTTTCAAAGTACCTGGGATATTATAGTCTCTGGAAATGTACTTCTGTCGTATTCCCATTTCGTACATTCCATATTTGTTCCATTAATGTTGACCGTACATTGATCCGGTGATACCGTTTGTAATGATATCGTGCAGTTGTATCCTTGATAAGGCGCCATGAAGACGATTGCCAATTGATGCCAAGCAACTGGAAATTTAACGAGTGAGATTGCCAAACAAACGAGGATTTGCCATTTTCCAAGATTGCCGATTGCCTGTTGCACCGCGTCAATGTCTTCACCATATTCCTCGATAGTTCCTGTGTCTTTTCCGTTCGGAACTTGTTTAACGTTCACATCCACTGAAAAGAGAAAAGTAATTTCGTTTCATTTATAATTCGTTATTTAAAGAAGAAAAAAATGTTTTTAATTAGCAATATTGTAATAAGTGTGTTTGTGTGTGTGTGTGTGTGTGTGTGTGTGTATTTGATATTTTAATATTAATTATTTATCTTCTTATTTACTTTGTTATAAAATAAGTTATAATAAAACTTCCATTATCCGAACACACATTATCAAAATATCTTAACATCCAAACGTTCTATTAAACGAACTTCTATTATTCGTACCGTACACTATCTCCAGGCACAACAATGCAAGCAGACACCTGTTTTTATTATAGCAATAGAAATAAAATTTAATTCGAAATAGATGTCGAAGCACATGTATTTCGAACTCATGTTCACATAGCATATAGCATATAATGACATCGGAAGTGGTAACTATTGCAGCAAAAGCAGAAATATTTAATAAATTAGATAACGATATTACGATATTACATAGAATATCAGAATGTGGAAAATGCGATAACATTGATGTCAAAGGTTGACTCCTATGCGATAAAAATTATAATGAGGAGGATATTATTAAGAATATTTTAAATTCTAATAATGAAATAGTAGAGGTATACACCAACAGTGAAGATATACTTTCTTATTTTTAATCATTCGTGATACTAAAAAAAGGATTTCGTTGATTCGAAGATCAGACGAAATGCAATTATACTCAGCTTTGTACATTAAATAATTTATGCAATTTGACAGTTAAAAAAGAATGCAATTCCTAAATTCATAATAAAAACTATTTTTTTTTACCATTATACCAATTTTGTGATAAATAAACGTATTACTTTCTTTAAAATATGGAATAATTCATCTAAAAGAAAAGCTTGTGTTTCATTATTCGAAAATTCTCATAAAAGAATGATCTTGTAGTCTTCCTATTAGTTCGGATAATGGAGATTATATCGTATCATCATCATCATCATCATCACCTTCATCATCATTATGTTATATGAGAGATCGTTGAAAGAAATAAATTATAATTCAGAATAAATAATAATTCACAGAAATAAGTCAATATGGATAAAAATAAGGGAAATTGTTTTCATTTTTGTTTTTTATATAAAAGAAAAAGAATTTATAAATTCGTGAGATAAACAACAATTATCATATAGCTGTTATGCATTCAAAAATAATGAGACTATGATTTTTCTATCTCATATTAAAGAGATTTGCCGAGTTTGATGCCCTTTTTGATAAGTTTTTTCCTCCTTAATGGATCGTACAAATGTTGCTTTTTTAAATTTATTTTTTAGTAACCTTAGTATGACCATTCAGCCTATGTCGTTCGCTAAATTTTAATTTTTAACAGACGAATTTTCCTCAGTTGTACAATAAATCACTTTGTCAAGAATTATTCCTCCTTTTCTCAAAGACGTGAGAGTAGAATTTAAATAAAAATAGTGCAAGCTAATTGATTACCAAATTTTTTTACTCAGACTGGGCTTGCCTATGGTATTAACGCAATTAACATCTTAAATGATGTTTTTAGGTTAATAAAAATCCCTTAATTCGCAAGAATTTATAATGCGTGCTCGATAAAGACTTTTGTTTGATAACTCCTTTCCAGCAAGGTCTTTTATGTATTTATGACATTGTACTATAGATAAAGAAAACTCGTAAGAGATTTCTGAATACTAAAAATTACGGCTAATTTCGGTGCAAGTCTTTAGAGAATAGCAACTCCACGTATCCAAGTTGGATTATCCTTAC